TATCAAATCTGCATGTAGTATTATCAAGTATATGATGCAGGGTCACATCATTTTTAAATTTGTTGGAAAAAGTGAAAAAAAGTGAAAATAGTTAATTTTAATCTAAAAAACAATAAAAAGGTGAGTGATAAAATGAATTTTGTCTTTTTATAACCTTTATTTCAGCGTTACAAAGGTTAGTATCACAGATATTTTCCCCATTAATAAATATACGCCTCCGGATGCTATCTTCAACACAAATTCTGCATTTCAGTGACACTTGAAATGTTTTTAATCTTTACCAGTGGTAAATGGTGTGAGGTGTTCATTAAATGGTTGTATAAATAGTACTTCAGTACTAACTTAGTTGTTTAACTTAATCAAAATATTACATTTATTTCAGCCAGGCCGACTGAGACTTCTTGGGACCAGAAGTGTTGCGCCTGCGTTTGTCATATTTTATTTTTTCTTCTCATAGTTTTCGATATAGATACCCGACATAAAACAACTGAACAGAGGGTAAATGATCGGCCATGGCAAACCAGGCATAATTTCTGGAGAGATCCTTTAATTTTGTGCGGAGACCTAATAATGGTAATTACTCTTATTATTATTCCTGGTCTTACATTCATATCTAAATTATGTTTGATATTTTCAGAAGACAGACAAGAAATGGATATATAAGTACTGCATTCGGCCAAGCAAAACCCGGGAATGCTTCAGGCATTAAAAATTTGTAGTTCCAATGCTTCGATTGTAAATATTATTAATAAATACACAAACAAATATTACAAAAAACATGATTTTTATTGTGGAAAATCAGATACTGCAAAGCAGTGCAAAACCAAAACTGCGAGGGTCTGGAAAAACCAAAACTGGGAGGGTGTAGAAAAGCAGATATTGCAAGTGGAGGAAAACCATAACTGGGTACGTGTGGAAAATCTATAATGCGGGAAGTCGAAAAACCAGTGGATTTTGTCCTGCATGTGGGCTCCCACCGGGAAAATTCCTCTGGAAAATAACATATTTTCAAGAGGTTTCTCCATAGAAGCGGAAGGGACTAAACCTCATTCACCCCTTACATTTCTTCCATCTCTGGTTTCAAAATACACGGGGGTGACACAAAAAGTAAGGGGGAAATGAGGTTTCTATCTGGATCTCTGGCAGAAGAATGCAGGACAAAATCCACTGGTTTTTCGACTTCCCGCATTATAGATTTTCCACACGTACCCAGTTATGGTTTTCCTCCACTTGCAATATCTGCTTTTCTACACCCTCCCAGTTTTGGTTTTTCCAGACCCTCGCAGTTTTGGTTTTGCACTGCTTTGCAGTATCTGATTTTCCACAATAAAAATCATGTTTTTTGTAATATTTGTTTGTGTATTTATTAATAATATTTACAATCGAAGCATTGGAACTACAAATTTTTAATGCCTGAAGCATTCCCGGGTTTTGCTTGGCCGAATGCAGTACTTAGATATCCATTTCTTGTCTGTCTTCTGAAAATATCAAACATAATTTAAGAGTAATTACCATTATTAGGTCTCCGCACAAAATTAAAGGATCTCTCCAGAAATTATGCCTGGTTTGCCATGGCCGATCATTTACCCTCTGTTCAGTTGTTTTATGTCGGGTATCTATATCAAAAACTATGAGAAGAAAAAATAAAATATGACAAACGCAGGCGCAACACTTCTGGTCCCAAGAAGTCTCAGTCGGCCTGGCTGAAATAAATGTAATATTTTGATTAAGTTAAACAACTAAGTTAGTACTGAAGTACTATTTATACAACCATTTAATGAACACCTTACACCATTTACCACTGGTAAAGATTAAAAACATTTCAAGTGTCACTGAAATGCAGAATTTGTGTTGAAGATAGCATCCGGAGGCGTATATTTATTAATGGCGAAAATATCTGTGATACTAACCTTTGTAACGCTGAAATAAAGGTTATAAAAAGACAAAATTCATTTTATCACTCACCTTTTTATTGTTTTTTAGATTAAAATTAACTATTTTCACTTTTTTTCACTTTTTCCAACAAATTTAAAAATGATGTGACCCTGCATTATATTCTTGATAATACCATACAAAATGCAGATAAATGTGGGGTAATTTTCTTTGTAAAGTTGGGTCACACTTTGGCGCCGAATAAATATTTAAACAATACTTTTCAGGGACCGTAATCATTAAAGGTTACGTATATTACACTAGTTTACAAAATAATATTCTTGGTGTGCTCCCCAGCAATTGATGGCAAATTCTGTTAGTGTTGGACCCCTAGATCACAAAAATAGCAATTATTTTTTTTTCGATGGCACAGTTTTTTTTTAAAGATTTTTTAAAGTTCGAAATGTTAAATTTCGGACTTTTTTCGAATTTCTTCTTATATCTCGGCAGATATCCACTTGGTTGAGCCAGTTTTAGTTTTATTTTAAAGTCAATAGATCAGAGCTTAACTTTGCCATACAGATCAATATGATTGGATGAGTAATGGCAGCGCAGAAGCTTGACAAAGATGAAAAATGTGTTTTTTGGTCGTCTGTAAGTCGGCTGTATATATCGTAAAAACTCGAAATAAATCCGTTGAAAAATCATAATGGGTACAAACTTAAAGTGTACATCCTACCGAATAGAACAAGCTGGATATGGCCCAAATCCATGGAAAACTGGATTTATGGTAGATTTTTAAAGTTCGGATTTTTCCACTTTTTTCGGTTGACAGAGTCCAAATTTAAGATTTATCATAGGCGGCGTCATGTAAACAAAAATGAGTGGTGACGGCAGCCGGATCAAAAAATAGCTAAATTTAAAAGCTAGAAAATTATAAAATAAATTTAATTTCTGAAAATTCCTTATAAAATATAAAATTGCTTGCGTTATGACTGTGAGTATTTTTAATTAAGTACTATCAATTTGGATAGTTCATTCTTATGAAAAAAGTAACCTTAATTTCAAAAATTAAATTCACTTTAATAATTTTCTAGCTTTTAAATATCTGATTTAGCTATTTAGTGACCCGGCTGCCAACACCAATTATTTTTGTTTACTTGTCGCCGCCTATGATAAATCTTAAATTTGGACTCTGTCAACCGATAAAAAGTTAAAAAATCCGAACTTTAAAAATCCACCATAAATACAATTTTCCCTAGATTTGGGCCATATCCAGCTTGTTCTATTCGGTAGGATGTAAACTTTAAGCTTGTACCCATTATGATTTTTCAACGGATTTATTTCGAGTTTTTACGATATATACAGCCGACTTACAGACGACCAAAAAACACATTTTTCATCTTTGTCAAGCCTCTGCGCTGCCATTACTCATCCAATCATATTAATCTGTATAGCAAAGTTAAGCTCTGATCTATTGACTTTAAAATAAAACTAAAACTGGCTCAACCAAGTGGATATCTGCCGAGATATAAGAAGAAATTCGAAAAAAGTCCGAAATTTAACATTTCAAACTTTAAAAAATCTTTAAAAAAAAACTGTGCCATCAAAAAAAAAATTAGTGCTATTTTCGTGATCTAGGGGTCTAAAACTAACAGAATTTGCCATCAATTGCTGGGGAGCATTTCGGCTGTAAACTAGTGTTATAGGTATATTAGGCATTTTTCGTGTTATCAATACCACCAACACGAATTTTTATATTTTAACAACACTTAAAAATGGCTTAGGCCACGATCTGACGATCAAATTATTTTATTTCACAGAAAATGTTTAAAAATGTAAAAAACAACAATAGTTTTCTTTGTAATTTAATGTAATTCCTTGATAAATGTGATCAAATATTTTAATCGTCTTACCGTGGCTTTTCTCTATAATTTGGTTGAATACCACATTCATCCTTATTATTATTTGAAAAATGTTGAGTAAAATAAATTAATATTATCATTATAGACATTATGATAATAATGTTATATAGTTTAATTTTTTTGATTAACAATTATTAATATTTTTTCTACGACTTTTAAAATTACTAAAAATTAAAACTAAATGTGAGAACAAGTCTTTTGGTTTTGGTGTAAATCATAGGATTTTTGAATATTATAATTTGGTGATTTTTTTGTTAAAAAATATTATAATCGTAGTCCCACAGAAATCACACAGCGCATAAGTGGCCTGATATTGATGCTTCTCAGAAACCCACCCCCATTTAACGCTCAGAAATTATCTAACCCCACACCGCCGCCTGCAAAAAGGAACAGGATTTCAAGAACACAAAAACCAACTTCTCACATTCCCGCTGGGCTGCCAACCACACACACATACACACATATTACATATGTATCCATTAATTGCGTCTTAGAATTTCGTTTGACTCTTCCTTGTTTTTAGGGCAATTTCAGAACATATTTTTGGCTATTTTGTTCTGCGTTTTAGGGCGATTTCGCCCTAAAAAGAAGGAATTACTTTTGGAGTCGACTCATAAAAATTCGCCCTAAAAAACAGGGCAAATGTGGCGTTTTGGAAAAACTAACCCTAAAAAATATTTTCAATGGCGATTTTTCGTATATTTAGGGTTAGCCACCCGTATAATAAGAAAATTTTTCGTAGTTTTAGGGCGACCTCGGTTTTAGGGCGACTTTTCTAGTATTTAGGTAAAAATTTCTATGAGTGTTGAATCAAAACTGATTTTGCTTGATTTTAGCACGGTGTTTTTTCTGACTGTATAAGTTAAATGCTAAAAGTCATTGATTATTCGTTTTTTTTGTTATTTTTAAGTTGTAATTGTCTCCCAACGATTTGAATTTTATCACCGACTTCATCCCTTGTTAAAAAGCTCGGGAAAGTGATTAAGATACTTTTTAAAATACTGTCAAAGTATAAAATTAAGTCTACGGCATCTAGATGAATTTGAAAAATGCGTAATAAACTTTAAAGCCGTTGCGCACCGACTAAAACGAATTATTGTTTACTTTTACTTTCTTTTATGGATTAAGGATACAAAAAGGCCATATATGAAGGGGTGAGAGCATGGCCTTAGAAATTTCATACAAAATAAGTCCACCCTAATGTACATATTTATTTTTTTATTTATTTATTTCGCCAACGGATATACCTTAACTGGCTACTTATACAGTTCAACAAATTATATTACGTACTAACATTTACAAAATAATTAATTAACCTATGTTTAAAGATGGTTTTATTTGGGAAATAGTCTGACTGCATATCAGCTGGAAGTGCGTTAAACTCAGATAAAGCCCTATAGAGAGGCTCATTTTGGGAATAATTAGTCCGCCTCAGCAAGAAAAAAGGGATCAAAATTCCGAAGTTGCCTAGAAGGAGCATTAAAACCAACTTTCGAGAGTAGCTCAGGACAGTCGATACCACCATTCACCAAATCAAAGATAAAGCAAATGGCCAGGATATTTATATATATAGTAGTCGCCTTCGCACACTCCCCTGGTGCGCTTTGTCACTACGTGGACTGCCCACAGTCCACAGTAATACAAAAAAACAAATACAAGTACGGACGAGATATTTTTCATCGCGAAGTTTTTTTATGTGTTAGAACTTATATGTGTCTGGGCTTCAAAAGGAAATATCTTTGCAAGCAGGGATTTGTTTTGCGGCTCATTTTTATTGTTTAAGTGTTGAATTATTGTTCTCGAAAAGTTGCCCAACTACTACAGAAAGACACATTTATACAGTATTAACTTGTACATAATAAACATCAAATCGTTCGGGGCAGTTAAAATGACCTAGAGGGTTGAGAAGGGCTGTTCGGTTTTTTCTGCTCATATTCAGTTTGGGCACATAACGTTCTAAAGACTACCAACCACAGTTTCAATAGGTAATTTCTATTACTTTTACGTAAGTTAATCTACAGAAATCATAGTTTTCGTTTATTTTTAACTTTTTTTGTTCTACTTATGAATAGAGCGGTGACTAAAACTAAAATGTATACATGGAAGTGAAATACTGTTATTATTGCACTTGCTAACTTTCCTATTCTATTTATCAACTTATATTTTTTTGTATCTCCTTTTAATATAGTACAATGATATGCGATGAGTTTTATGTTAAGTGTTTTGCTCCGAAGTTTCTACAAAAGTCGAAAGTTTGATTGTGATTTGATTTTAGAAAAGTTAGCGTGAGTCTCCCTGAAGTTTGTTTTCCCTGTGACTAGCAGCTAGTAAGTACAGTTGACTCCGTTTTGGCCGTCTCGTCATTATAAATTCGTATTAAGGGGGTTATAGTGGCTCAGCATTCGTCATCGGTAATTGTGTAGCTGGCCCGAAGTTCGCTCAATGGCGTCGCGATCGCTGTGGATGGCGTCATGAGTGGCGCCCCTTGGAAGGATATGGCCAGCGGCAGGGCCGAGGGGGCACACAGGCTCAGGGCGCCTCGTCCTTCCGTCACGGAGCGGTAGCGCAGCGGGCGTCCGGAACTGCAATTAGATGGCAGTAATTAGGTTATTGGTTTCTTCTTTAAAAGCTATTTTAAGTTAAAAGTAAACAATTTTCGTTTTTATGGCTCACTACAGAAAGTGTCTGTATAAGTCTATAAGGTAGCAGAAAAACAAGAAAGGAAGTTAACTTCGACCTGTCGAAGTTTATATACCCTTGCAGGTATGCCTACTTAAAATGTTGTTTTTACAATGTCAAAAATCAAAACGCCTACTTTCTACAATGGTTTTTCTATTATTTTTTTTTGAGAATTTAATGGGAGCCATAAGATATAGTGGTCCGATCCAGCTCGTTCCGACATATGTACTATCTGCAATAGAAAGAAGACTTTTCGGAAAGTTTCATCGCGATAGCTTAAAAACTGAGGGACTAGTTCGGACAGACGGACATGGCTAGATGACGGACATGGCTAGATGGACTCGGCTATTGATGCTGCTCAGGAATATATATAATATATATTCACTGCGTTGAAAACATCTGACTGAAATTATAATACCCTCTGCAAGGGTATAATTAATTCTTGGTAAAATTTACCAATGCAGACAGTTTAGTATTTAAAACAAGAGAGAACGCTATAGTCGGGTTGGTGTCCCGACTATTTAATACCCGTCACTCAGCTAAAGGGAGTGCGAACGCTGTACTCGGGTTGGTGTCCCGACTATAATCGTAGCTCAGCTAAAGGGAGTGCGAGGGAGATAGATATATATAGATATTTTGATTGCGTATAACTTTTTAATGAATGGTCCGATTCGAAAAATGTCTTCCACATTTCGATAGGTATAAATATACACAACAAAATTGCATTTATTCTTCTCGGAAAAATTTAAAGATGTGGGCGCAGGACACATTTTAAAATCCTTAGTGGGCCATTGTGGGCGTTACTTGTTACTTCCATTCCATTCCATTCTTCGAAGTACAGTAGTGGGATTTATCTCAAAAATTCGTGAATAGACGCCTCTAGATGACTGTCAAATATTTTAGGGCACATATTTTTCCTTGTATTTTTTTAAGCCTGTTCGCCGCATCAAGTTGGTTGTGAATAGAGGTGAACAAATTACTTCAATGGCTCATATATGAGCCTATAGGCTTTTATTAACTAAAATAATGATGGAACCTCAAATGCAATTATGTAGAAGGGCATCTAAGCAATTTTTTTGCATAGGTTTCATTACAACTGAGCACAGACCCTCGAAGATATCTAAAATCAAAATATAAAATGTTGCTACTTTTTTCAAACCGCGATTGCACAAATACCACCCGTTAAACTCGAAAACTAAGTATGCAGATATGCTTATATCCGTCTATATTAACACAATTTAATGCCCATAGGGCTGCACCAAAAACACTGTTGGCCTGTGTTATTTTAATATTGTAGCAAAGAGTATACATACATAGAGAGGACATCCCATATAAATAAGTCGGTCTGTTAACGGTAGAACCCGCACTGCTCGATTCTAGTTGGAATCTAGTCAGCCGCGGCACTGTTTGCCATTTGGCCTAGTGGATAAGACATCTGACTACCAATCTAAGCGGTACGGGGATCGAATCCCGCTGTAGAATTTCGATTTCTTGCGAGGGCAAACTTTTTTTTTTTTTGGGGCCGATTTCTCGTCCGCCTGTTAAATTTAAAGTAGGGTTCAAACTCCGATTTCCCATTCGATTTCAAGGTTTTAACCTACTTTAAATTTAACAAACGGCAAGTTGATTGCTTCAAATTGCTGCAAACTAATTTGCTGCAAATTTTTTGAATCGTGTATACCTAGCTTAAGAGTATTTATTATTTTTTTTTTGTGTTTTTGTGTTGTTTTTTAGGAGCATTTTTAATTTTGTTTTTTTTTTTTTCTATTTTGTAATTACTATTGATCAGGGACCGAAAATAACTGTTATTGTAAATTTTTCTTTAAAAAAAAAATCACGCACTTAGAGGGGTCAAAAAATTTGTTTAAATACACCAAACGCTGTACTCGGGTTGGTGTCCCGACTAATAATCGTAACTCAGCCAAAGGGAGTGCGAGGGAGATAGATATATATTGACAATTTTGAATGCGTATAACTTTTTAATGGATGGTCCGATTTGAAAAATGTCTTCTACATTTCGATAGATATAAATATACACAACAAAATTGCATTTATACTTCTCGGAAATATTTAAAGATGTGGTTGCAGGACCCATTTTAAAACCGTTAGTGGACGATTGTGGGCGTTAGAGGGGGCGTGGCGCTCGGCTGAAATAAACTTGCGCTGCGTAGGAAGCCAAAGAATATGTGTGGAAAATCTCAACCTTCTAGCTTTTGTAGGTTCTGAGATCTCAGCGTTCATACAGACGGACAGACGGACAGACAGACAGACAGACAGACAGACAGACGGACAGACAGACGGACAGACGGACATGGCTATATCGACTCGACTAGTGACCCTGATCAAGAATATATATACTTTATAGGGTCGGAAAACGCTTCCTTCTACCTGTTACATACTTTTGCACAAATCTAATATACCCTTTTACTCTACGAGTAACGGGTATAAAAACATGCTGACCATGTTTTATATAACTTACTAAAAATTTATTAAAAAAGGCAACCGCGCATATTTTATAACTATTTATTTTTAAAATTTATTTTGCCCACAAAATCGCCAAAAATCAAGTTTGAGTTTTATTTTTGATCACGACGAATAACTGTTATTTGTCAATTTTTATTATAAAACTCAAAAAATAACAGTTATTCTTTGAGTTTTACTTTACAAATCAGAAAATAACTGTTAAAGTGTGATTTTTAAAATAAAACTTATAACAGTTATAAAACTTATAATAGTATTGATCATCAAAGGGTAACACTATTAGTAAATAGATAGATCTTAAAAAAATATTAAATATATTACATATATTTTAGAAATTAAGCTTTGTAATATTCATGAATTATTTTGTAGCTTTAAAGCTTAATTAACTAAAATAATAAAATAAAATAAATATATTTCGAGACAACAAAAAACAATATTAGAAAACGTCTGCCCTTTGCGGGGATCGAACACGCATCAACATCGCTGATCAACGCTTTAGCCAGCACGACCGTAGACCGAGTTGGATGTTGTGGGCAGAAAACCCTTTTCGACTTTTAAAAGTTGTTGGGCCTCGATTATCAAAATGACAAAAATGAAATTTGGCCAAAATGTGTTGCCACGTTGCACACAAAGCCCACTTACACTTATGCATTGTGTATTTAATAAACGAAACCTAAAAATAGAACAAGCTCATTACCCTTTTCCCCTTGCCGACAACAGTGTGAACAAAATTATCAGAGTTATGCGCCCTCTGTATAATGTATACTCTTTGATTGTAGTCTTGTCAATACTGAATCCATAGGTGTTAGTCGCATTCTGCACTTTTCCGCACTATGGGAGCAATTTGCATTTTTCTTAAATAACCTCACTTTTTATACCCGTTACTCGTAGAGTAAAAGGGTATATTAGATTCGTGCAAAAGTATGTAACAGGTAGAAGGAAGCGTTTCCGACCCTATAAAGTATATATATTCTTGATCAGGGTCACTAGCCGAGTCGATATAGCCATGTCCGTCTGTCCGTCTGTCTGTCTGTCCGTCTGTCCGTCTGTATGAACGCTGAGATCTCAGAACCTACAAAAGCTAGAAGGTTGAGATTTTCCACACATATTCTTTGGCTTCCTAGGCAGTGCAAGTTTATTTCAGCCGAGCGCCACGCCCCCTCTAACGCCCACAATCGTCCACTAACGGTTTTAAAATGGGTCCTGCAACCACATCTTTAAATATTTCCGAGAAGTATAAATGCAATTTTGTTGTGTATATTTATATCTATCGAAATGTAGAAGACATTTTTCAAATCGGACCATCCATTAAAAAGTTATACACATTCAAAATCGTCAATATATATCTATCTCCCTCGCACTCCCTTTGGCTGAGTTACGATTATTAGTCGGGACACCAACCCGAGTACAGCGTTTGCCCTCCCTTTAGCTGAGTGACGGGTATTAGATAGTCGGGACACCAACCCGACTATAGCGTTCTCTCTTGTTCATCTTTGATTTGTATGCAGCAGCGAATAATAAAATTTTCCTTTTTTCCAAACATCTGAGTAATTTGTATTATAGGGAACTAGTCCTCACAACCGCGTAAAAATGATCCTCGACGGACAGCGATTTTTTAAGAACTCTCATAACCATGGATGACCACATGTGTATTTTTATTATGAAAATCAGAAGAAATCGCGGTCCAAGGAGGATTATATATTTTACGGTCCGCACCCCCAAAATTCGCGAAAAAATTATCCTCGACGGACCGCAAATTCTTAAGAATTACTTAATCGAATTTTAAAGTTACGTGCTTTGCTATAAAAATACAATTGGCTTTTCTACGACTTGCTATACAAAACTTACAAGTTGTCAAAATAATAGGCCTTCTGAAAAATTCGACAAAAATGTCTAATGGTTTTTATAGGGGCCAGACCCCACAGCCGCGAACTAAATATTCTCCGTCGACAGCGATTACTTAAGAATTTATTGACCATGGAGGACCAATATAAAACTTCTTAGGGCAGATTTGAAGAAATAGCGGTCCAACGAGGATCATTACAGTTTACCTATTTTGTGGTGTTATATATTATATTTTAACCTTTTTCACGGTCTAAAGAAAATCGTAGAAAAGGCTACACCAATAATGCACGAATTTTATAATCCTCGCCGCAATACAAGTACTTAAGAGAATTAAAAAGAGAAGTGCAGCGCGCCGCAGGCAAAAATTTTTTTTTAAAAAAATCGCGCGATTTTTTAAAAAATATTTTTTGCTTGAACGCCTATTATTTTGACAAGGGATGAAAAGGCCTTATGTTTTTTATAGCAAACTACTCAAAATCATAGAAAAGGCTACTTTATTTTTATAGCAAAACACGTAACTTTGAAATTCTATTACAAGAGAACCATGGCAGTCCGCGCCTATATTTCTTCATGTAAA